AAGGACTGGGGCGGGAGGGAAGCCAACCCCTGGGTACCCGAACTCCAGCCCCTATCTGATCAACACCTCGACCTCGGCTCCGCGCCCCATCTCCTTTTCGCGGGCTGGGGGCGCATAGAGCTCGCCTTGCCGGAGCCGCGTCCGAGCGCGAACAGCCGAAGCCGGCAGCCGAAGCCCGGAGGAAGAAAAACGTCCGGACGGCTGAGGTTGCCCGAACGCCCAGTTCGAGGCAGACGTGTGGCGGCTGCCCTAGGCCTCGCAGTCCCTCGAGTGGCTCGGGAAAAAATGCCGAAGCTCCCCTGGCAGGGCCCGTGCTCAGCAGCCTCCTTCGGAACCGGCCGGGCGCCGCGCCCCGACGGCTCCGCAGCTTTCACCACTGCCTCTAATCAAGACCCACAAACCACTTTGGTGTCTGGGCCCTCCCTGGGACTGGCGTCGCGCCGGAGGGCGTTCCAGAGGGTGGTGGATTTCTCCTTGTCAGTCCGGGCGCCCTCACCCGCTTCCCGCGACCCCAGCTTGCCCACCCCGGCACCCTCCCCCGGGGAGGGACCCACTCTAGCTGCCAACGGAGAGTTGGCCCCTGGGGATGGGGGCGGGGAAGATAGTCAAGTAGAGGACCCCGGAGGATAGGACTTCGGCCTCCAGCGTCCTGTCTAGTCCAATCAAAACTGCCCCCCCAATTCAATAACCCTGACCCTTGGGGCTCCTCTCGGACCGGACAGAGCAGGGAGGAAGTGCATAAATAGCTTAACACTCAGACCATTCTGTGTGCCAGGCATGGCTCCATAGGTATTTGCACGTGTTAAATCATTTACTTTTGAGAGAACTCCATCAGGTAGGTATCGTGCATTAATTCCTTCCCTTACTCCTTCAAGAAATCTTTATTAAACATATACTATGTAGCAGGTACTATTCCATAGTTGCGTGTGTGTGCAGATGAGGAACCCGAAGCACAGAGAGTCTAGAGAGCTTGTCCAAGATCACCCTGGTAGTAAGTGCCGGGTTCTGGCACTAGGCTGTCTTCCAGCCTTGGTGCAGATTCTGGGAAGGCGAGATGGGGCAGTCAGGTTTGGGAGGAAAGGAGCAGGGAGGTGTCCCTGTGAGCTTCGGGCTTGCTCAACCTGGGCGGGGGTGTCTGGGGGAAAAAGATCAAGATCTTCTGGAAAGTCAAGAGTTTGGTGCCGAAGGGTCTCTGTCCACGGCTCTGGTGCTGGAAGTCCCCCCAAAAATGCCAGAGGCAGCAGCAAACATTGGTTCAGTGTCCTGCCTGTGACAAATTCAGGGGTAGGGAGGGGTCTGAGGTAAGCATGACCCGGTCTCTGCCCACCGGCACACCCAGAGCAGGACACACCCACTCTCGATAGACGCTTGGGCAAAGGGAGAAGTCTTCCCAGGAGAGGTGCTTAAGCTGGATGGTTACTGGGCAAGAGTCACTGGGGGAAGGACAGCACATGAGATGGAAGGAACAGCAGGCTGGAGGAGTGATGGGGGGGAGACAGCAGGAGAAACGGGGAGTCCTCTGGCTGGGCCTGTGGTGGACGTGTGCCTGGAGTGTGAGAAGGGGGTTGGATAAGGAGGAGGGTGAACTGGAGCAAGAAGGACTGGGTAAAGGATAGGAAATCACTGGTGGAATCTTTAAAAGAGTACCAAGTTTTATTATTCTATTTGCCCCAGAAGAGGACCTTAGAAGGTGTAAATATTGGGCAGGTTGCACATGGAAGAATGGGGGCCTGAAGCGGCTGCATTTCATTTTATTATTTTTACTCTGACTGTGCGGGCTCCTCACTGCGGTGTGGGGAGCTTCTCTCGTTGTAGCTCGTGGGTTTATTTGCCGCTCAGCCTGTAGAATCTTGAGCTTCCCTGGTGGCTTAGAGGGTAAAGAATCTGCCTGCCATGCAGGAGACCTGAGTTCAATCCCTGGGCTGGGAAGATCCCCTGGAGCAGGGAATGGCTACCCACTCCAGTTGTTGATGGACAAGGAAGCCTGGCGTGCTGTAGACCACGGGGTTGCAAAGAGTCGGACAAAACTGAGCAACTGAACTGAATTGACCCACTCCACTGTTTTGCCTGGAGAATTCCATGGACAGAGGAGCCTAGCAAGCTAGAGTCCAGGGGTCTCGAAGAGTCAGACACGACTGAGCTCCTAGCACTGTGGGGTCTTAGCTCCCCACCCACAAACCAGTCTTGCATCCCCCGCATTAGAAGGCAGGGTCTTAACCACTGAACCACCAGGGAAGTACCGAGGCTGCGTATGAAAGCCAAATGTGCTGAGGGTCCTCTGTTGGTTCCATAGAGGGAGAGTCTAAAGCTCAGAGTCCAAAGAGAGAGAAAGGGCAGAGAACAGCTAATTAAAACAGAGTTTGAATGAAGATGCTCCAGCCTCAAGCGTGGGTGCAGGGCAGGATCTAGAGGGACACCTAGTCCAGCCTCAGGTGAGGGGGGTCAGGGGAGGGTTCCTTGAGGTGGTGGGACTCCGAGTCCTCAAGGATTCAGTTTAGCCAAAGGTTGAGGGCGTGGGTATGATTAAAGGGTGGGGTGTGGGAAGGACAGAGAGGTGAACAAAAGCAGAAGATCCTAGGAACTAGGCAGCAGGATGGCATGGCCCATGGGCAAGGGGGAGGGCCTGAAAACGGTGCTGGAGAGGGCGGTCAAGGCCAGACCAGGAGGCAACGGCAGCTACCCTGCCTTGACCACGTTGCACAGTCCAAGCCCATGCTAAACACTGCCTCGTTTCTTTTTATTATTATTATTTAATTTAAAATATTAGTTTATTTGGCTGCACTGAGATTCTTGGTTGCAGCATGTGGGATCTATTAATAATTCCCTGTCGAGGGATTGAACCTGAGCTCCCTGCATGGCGAACATAGAATCTCAGCCACGGGACTGCCAGAGACGTCCCCCTTGTTTCATTTTGAAAGGCCATGAAGGCCATGCTAGGTAGTGTGGCCGTTACACTGAGGGCAGTTGGTTGCCTTTGCAGGGATCACAGTAAGGGAGAGACACAGTGGGTAGGAAGACTAGTTTAGGAGGGAGCCATGAACCAGGGTAGTGGTTGAGGTCAAGAAAATCTCAGAGCTGTCTGTGAGCTGGAATACACAGGGGTGAGGGGATAGGCGAGGTGGACACGTGGTTCCTTCTGGGAGATGTAGGGGTGGCGATGCTGCTCTGAGGCGGTGGATTAGAAATCAGGCCCCTGGCAGCCTGGAGAACGGGGACAGTGAGCGCTTAGGACCCTGAGCCAAGAGCACCAAGGAGGCAGGGTAGCAGCAGGTGGAGCCCTGGCATGGGAGGGGTGGGGAAGGAACCTTCTCACCACGACAGCAGCTGGGGCCAGCGGGGGAGCCCTGCTCTCCAGTGCAGCTCTATGTGAGCCCAAAGGGTCCACGGGGGAGGTGCTAGACTTCAGGAAGGGACCCTGAGCTGCAGGTATGGGGGTGACCCAAGATCTGGGTCCAAGCAAGGGGAACAAAGGGGTTTGTTGTTGCTGTTTAGTCCCTCAGTCGTGTCACACTCTCACAGCCCGATGGACTGCAGCCCGCCAGGCTCCTCTGTCCATGGGGTTTCCCAGGCAAGAATACAGGAATGGGTTGCCATTTCCTTCTCTGGGGATCTTCCCGACCCAGGGATCGAACTTGTATCTCCTACATTGGCAGGTGGATTCTTTACCACTGAGCTACCTGGGAAGCCCCACAAAAGAAGTAGGCCTGAGTAAAAGCTTGGGGAAGGTGAGGAAGTAGCAGGGACATTCAGGGAAGGAGGAGTCAGGGGTGGAATTCCCCGTGTTGAGCTGTGCACTCCTGAGACATTGAGGCGTCCAGGGAGGGTGCAGATAGAATTCACTTCTATCAAAGTCAAGGGCACGAGAATTCCCTGGTCATCCAGTGGTTAGGACTCTGTGCTTTCACTGCCGAGAGCGCAGGTTCAATCCCTGATCAGGGAACTAAAACCACACAAGCCTCACAGCAAGGCCACAAAAAAAAGTCAAGGGCATGGCATCTGTGCTGATCCCAGGATGTCCCGTGCTCATGGTAGACACTGCAAATCAGTCTCAGTCTTTTCCCTTAAGCCTTTAATGTGCTTTAAAATTAATTTTAGGAAATAAAATAAAATTAACTTTAGGACTTCCCTGGTGATCCAGTGGTTAGGACTCTGTGCTTCCACTGCAGGGGGCACAGGTTTGACTCCTGGTTAGGCAACTAGGATCCCATATGCAGCACAGCACAGTCAAAAAAAAAAAAAAATTAACTTTACAAAAGTAATGTTAAAAAAAAAAAAAACTAGAACATTAACCACTCCTCCCAGCACCAGTGTTCTCCTCCTTTCCCCAGAAGCAACTCCTATCGTGAACTCAATGCGTGTCTTCTAGATCTTTTCAAAGTAATTTTATATACACCCATATGTACCCATAATAGAGCATTATTTCAGATCACAGCATTCTTTCCCAAGGATGGGAAAGCCCAAGGCCACACTTAGCCTCGGGATCCTTCTCAACACAACAGTCTAGGCAACCACGACCCAACTGATCAGAGTCAGAATAAGAGAGGACACCGACTTTGCTCTCCCTGACTTCAGGAGTGAAACTCCTTCCAGACGACGGCACAAACAGCCTTTCAGGGTGACAAGTCACAGCCTTGGAAATGGCCTGGTGGCCAGGCACTGTGCAGATACCCCTGGCTCCCTTGCTGGACGTCACTATTCCACCTTAAGATCAAACACTGTTGAGGAAGACGGGGTGGGGGTGGGGGAGAGGTGGTCTTCAAACCCGTTTAAATAATCCCTATGTTTATGTGGAACACAGAGGACTGGTCTCTTTGAACCTTCTCTGCTCCCGTAAGGTAGATGGGGTAGCTGCTATGGTTTCCAATCTCCAGACCAGAGAGGTTGCTTGGCTTACCCTAGGTCACACAGCAGTGAGAGGCAAGAGTGGAACGGAGCCCAGGACAGCTTGGCAGCCAACCAGAGCCCTGTCTCCCTCCCCAGCCCCTACTGAGGCTCCGCCCATGGCCACTCCAGAGGCTCAGGCGGCTGGAGAGGCTCCGGCCAAGGAGAACCAAGTGGCCTTGGGGTCTGAGCAGACCAGGGCCCCCGCCTCGCCGGTCAAGAGGTCCTGGCTGGCGCGGCATTTCTCGCTGCTGCTGCGGCGGGACCGGCAGGCCCAGAAGGCCGGGCAGCTCTTCTCGGGGCTCCTGGCACTCAACGTGGTGCTCCTGGGCGGAGCCTTCATCTGCAGCATGGTCTTCAACAACGTGGCCGTCACGCTGGGGGACGTGTGGATCCTGCTGGCCGCACTGAAGGTCCTGTCCGCCCTCTGGCTCCTCTACTACACCGCGGGGACCACTCGGCGGCCGCACGCGGTGCTCCACCAGGACCCACACGCGGGGCCCGTGTGGGTGCGGGGTGAGTGTCCGGGCGCCCGGGGCGGGGCGAGGGGTGCAGAGGGCGGGGGAGGGAGGGTCCCCACTCTGGGAGGTGCCAACGGCCCCCACCCCCGACCCGGCCAGGCTCCCTGGTGCTCTTCGGCAGCTGCACCATCTGCCTCAACGTCTTCCGCGTGGGCTACGACGTGAGCCACATCCGCTGCAAGTCGCAGCTGGAGCTGGTCTTCCCCGCCATCGAGGTCATCTTCATCAGCGTCCAGGTGACTGGCCTCGCCCACCCCCACTCCCCACCCTATGCCTAGAAACAGCCGCATCAGCAAATGTCTACAGGGCCCAGAGGAGATGCACACACACCACCCCTCACCCTGACCCCGACAAGCCCCCAGCACCCACACCCACGCCACCCACGTGTGTCAGCATCAGCGCTGCACACAGGAGTCACTGCAAGCCAGCCACCTATAGATACATCTGCCAGTACATACCTGTGTGTACCTAAATCTACACCCCCACCCGGATATACAAAGCTTTTTTTTAATTACAATTTATTTTTTTATTTGGTCATGTGGCATGGGATCTTAGTTCCCTGACCACAGAGGGAATCGGTGCCCCCTGCAGTGAAAGTACAGAGTCTTAACCACCAGACCACAAGGGAAGTCCCCAGAGCTACTCTGCTTTTTTTTTTTTTAATAATTTTATTTATTTTTGGCTGTGCAGGGTCTTCGTTACTGCATGGACTTTTCTCTAGTTACAGGGAGCAGGGGCTGCTCTCCAGCTATGGTGGGTGGGCTTCTCTTGTGGGCACAGACTCTAGGGCACACGGGCTTCAGTAGCTGGGGCGCATGGGCTTAGCTGCTCCAAGGCATGTGGGATCTGCCCGGATCAGGGATTAAAACCCGAGTCTCCTGCACTGGCAGGCAGATTCTTTACCACTGAACCACCAGCGAGGCCCAGGCGTTCCCATTTTAGTCCCATTTTAGAGACGAGGAGACTGAGGCTCAGAGATGTTTTGCCACTAGTCCAAGACCACACAGCAAGCAAACAGTGGAGCCAGGAATCCAAGCCAGGTGCCCTCACTGTCTCTTCTGTTGTAAATACACACGAGCCACTGGTGCACACATACCATGAACCCACCACCCACCTCCACCCCACCGCAGCCCTCCGGGCTCAAGGCCTCTACTCTTTCAGACCTGGGTGCTCTGGAAACACTGTAAGGACTGCGTTCAGATCCAGACCAACTTCACTAGGTGAGCTGCGGGCCCCTTCTCTCCTTGCAACAACTCCTGGGACACCCCATCCCCCACTCCCGCCAGTCCCCCACAGCTTCCCTGGGCAGGGTGGCCCTGGGACTATGGATTGGTCTGGGGTTGGGTCCTGGGGAGCCCCTAGGGCCGCCCCTCCTGAAGTTCTAACGGCAGGTGGGATCTGGCTTTGGGAGAGAGCAGCCCCCCCAAAGGCAGTGATGGTGAACGCGCGGTACCCAGGGTGCCGGCCAGGCTGTGTGGGCAGAGTGTAGCACCTCCTCCAGGTGTGGCCTGATGCTGACGCTGGCCACGAATCTGCTGCTGTGGCTTCTGGCCGTCTCCAACGACTCCATGCACCATGAGATCGAGGCTGAACTCAGCGCCCTCATGAAAAAGCTTTCAGGTACAGAGGAGATCGCGACCACGCCCCATCCCTGAATGTACACACACACACATGCATCCATCACACATCCTCAAACTGGTGAGGCTCAGTGACTCTCTACAGCTGGGAGCAAACTCTAGAGGCCAGATCAAGACTCAACAGAAACTGACTTTTGCCAGGGGTACTGACTTTTGCCTGCATTCTGGGCCTGCCCCACATGTTCTGGCACTCCACAAGCCCTGTCCGGGCAGCATCTAGCTATCAGTGAGCTGGCCACTAATCCACCGATAAGTCCAGGTATGCCCTCCACCCCTGGTATCTTCATTTTACTTGCAAGAGACTGAGCAGCCTGTAAGATTGAAAGGAATGTCTTCCTAACACACTTGTAGGCACCTGGATGTATCAGGAGGAACAGAATATTTCTGGGCAGAAAGAACGCCCTGGATTCTCCCATGTACACAGTACCCTACCTGCACGGGGTGCACTTAGAGGCCACGTCCCATAAACCTACGTGAGAAGGAACATTGCTGTCTGTGGGATTCAGCCACACCTGTATGTATACAACCCCCCCTCCCAGGTGTCATCACCATCTTGACTTGTGTACACCACACCTTCTCGCACACTCATGCACTCACACACCCACTGCATAAATCTTGGCACACCTGGATACTGTGGCATTTTTTATGCTCCAGATCCATTTTTCAGAAGAGCTATGCAAAGAGAATTTTTGGCAAGTGACATCATAGATTTTTCATTATTAAACAATCCAGACATCTAGATGAGTAGAACAGGACATACCTATAACCTAGATGTAATTGTTAGTAACACTTTGCCATATTTATTCCAATACTTTTGGTGAATTACTTATCTTACAGAAATCCTGTCATTTCATCTCAAAACATTTCAGTATGCAAGCCTTTAAAATAATATATTTCCCTACATTAGCAAATGCTATTATAATTGCTAACTTCCTTCACATCATCCCCATCCCCATTTATGTGGATAAATCTACATTCGACTTTGTCCAATCAGCCTATGAGATGTCATTTACAGATGGTTTGTCCAAACATGCAGTACAGTTGGTGGCTCAGTTAAATCTCTTTTCCCCTGATGACATTGAGATTGGTCAGGTTGCTTCCTCATGGTGGTATTTGTCCCTCTTCCCTGCTTTTCCTAGAAATGGGAAGTGTGGACTGAAGTGTTGATGAGACTCAGGAGGAGCATTCTGGATGCCAGCATTCCACCGGGGATGCTGTGTCTTTGCAGGCACCTCCCCACAGGAAAGATGCCTGATCACCCCACGGTGGATGCTGTTGCCCGACCAGATGTAGCAGCCAGGGCCTCCTTGGTATAAAGTTACAGGTTTCCCCTCGTGCTCAGCAAGTCAGCTTTGGCACCAAAGACATCATGTGTCAAATGCTTTATCTAAGCTTGGTCCCTGAGGTCTAGAATCCTTTTGTCAAGAAATGATAGTCCTGGGGACTCCCCTGGAGGTCCACTGGTTAAGATGCCATGCTTCCCCTGCAGGGGGCATGGGGGTCTGATCCCTGGTTGGGGAGCTAAGGTTCCACAAAAAAAAAAAAAAATAGGAATGACCACCCTGTTATTTCTGCTCTGTGTGTGTGTATATTTGTGTGTGTGTTTATTTTGTCACGCTGGGTCTTTGTTGCTTTGTGAGAGCTTTCTCACTCTTCATTGTGGCGTGCGGGATTCTCACTGCTGTGGCTTCTCTTGTGGCACGCACAGGCTCAGCTGTGGTGCATGGGCTTAGTCGTTCCGAGGCAGGTGGGATCTTCCCGTACCAGGGATCGAACCTGTGTCCCCTGCATTGGCAGGCAGATTCTTAGGTGCTGCGCCACCACCCATTCTGTGATTTCCGATTTCTCTCTCGGGGCCTCCGTTTCCACATCTGTAAGATGGGTGGCTTGGGCCTCTTCCACCTCGGCCACACTCCAGGAGGTGAACGGGATTGAGTCATGCCTCTGGTTTCCCCCCGGCCCCCGAGAAAGGCCCACCTGATCCGCTGTCCCTTCCCGCCCTGCCCCACCCCAGGCAACGGTACCAACACCTGTCTGTGCCTCAATGTCACCATGTGCGAGGTCTTCCGGAAGGGCTACCTGATGCTCTACCCCTTCAGCACCGAGTACTGCCTCATCTGCTGCGCCGTGCTCTTCGTCATGTGGAAGAACGCGGGCCGCCGCCCGGCGCCCGCCATGGGCGCGCCACCCGGCGGCCCGTCCTTCCACCTGCACGGCGCCATCTTCGGGCCGCTGCTGGGTCTGCTGGTGCTGGTGGCGGGCGTCTGCGTCTTTGTGCTCTTCCAGATCCAAGCAAGCGGCCCGGCCATCGCGCGGGAGTACTTCACCATCTACTACGCCTTCTACGTGGCCGCCCTGCCCGCTATGAGCCTGGCGTGCCTGGCGGGCACGGCCATCCACGGGCTGGAGGAGCGAGAGCTGGACACGTTCAAGAACCCCACCCGCAGCCTGGACGTGGTGCTACTGATGGGCGCGGCGCTGGGCCAGATGGGCATCTCCTATTTCTCCATCGTGGCCATCGTGGCCACCCGTCCCCACGAGCTGCTCAACTGCCTCATCCTGGCCTACTCTCTGCTACTCATCCTCCAGCATATGGCCCAGAACCTGTTCATCATCGAGGGCCTGCACCGCCGCCCGCTCTGGGAGGTGGCTCCTGAGAGCCTGGCTGGGAAGTGGGAGGCCGAGCCGCCCCGCAGGGGCTCCCTGCTGGAGCTGGGCCAGGACCTGCGGCGGGCCTCGCTGGCCTACATCCACTCCTATAGCCACCTCAACTGGAAGCAGCGAGCCCTCAAGGAGATCTCACTCTTCCTCATCCTCTGCAACATCACGGTGAGTTCTGGGGCCGGGAGACGTGGCGAGGGGTGGGGGCGGGTTGAAGCTGATGAGACGACCCCAGAGAGCCTCATTCGGGAAGGAATGGATCAAGGTGCATTCATTGCACATTGACAGTCCCCCGGGCAACTGGCTTATCCTTTGATTGCCAAGGACACAGGCCTCTTTCCAACGAGCTCGATGCTGCTTGAGAGTGTCCCCCAGCTCCCTGCAAGGTACCTGGCATGGATGAAGGTGCCAAGCCTGTAGCTAAGTGCTGTTTATAAACATGCGTGTAGGATTTCTACCCTGGGGAGCTTACTGCTTAGTTGGGGAGACACGGGGGGACCAGTTAGAGAGTTACCAAATATTTAATTGTCCACTGAATTCAGTCAAAGGAAGAGATCAGAAAGTGTGTGTTTTTCTAAAGAACCTCAGGGAAAGGTCTTGACAGTGACACTCAGTGCCTGGTGGCCGCTAAGTCTCAAATCCACCTTTCTCTGCACCTCGCTGAATCGTCACACTAACACATGAAGCAGGCACTATGACTGTCCCCCTTTAACAGATGAGCAGGCTGAGCTTAGGCCGTTTGACCTGCCCACACTCCCAGAGTCTGCAAGTGCCAGTCCTGGGACAACTCCAGGTTGTTTGAGCCCATGCTGATACTGGCTGTGCTGGCAACACCTCTGATGCCCAAACCTCAGGTCCAGGCAGAGCATAAGTAATAAATTGGCCCTAAAGGGAGGTAGGAGCTCAAAGAAGGAAATGTGGACTCAAGCGGCCAAGGAAGTCTTCGTGAAAGTTTGGTCTGGGCCTTGAGAAATGAGCAGAATTTGGACAGAAGGCAGGGTTGGAATGGAGCTGGCAGAGAGTCGTGACAGTGGAAGAATGAACAGAAAAGGGGGATGGAGATCAAGGCCAAGGGGATCCCCGCTTGATGGAGCAGGTTGTCCCGTGGGGCTGGCAGCCAGGGGTCTCAGCTGGAACTCAGGCTGGCTGGCCCCAGGCAAGCTGAGGAGGGGGCTCAAGGCCTTGAGGGGGAGGGAGATATAAGGGCAGAGGCTCTGACATCCTAAGGAGGAGGAGGCATGGAGGAGCCGCCGGTTTGGGGGGCCTACTTCCCCTGAGCCGAGGGCCTTGGGGGATGGGAGAGCCCCCTGCCTCACTCAACAGCCTCCTCTCCTTCCCAGCTATGGATGATGCCTGCTTTCGGCATCCACCCTGAGTTTGAGAATGGGCTGGAAAAGGACTTCTATGGCTACCGGACGTGGTTCACCATCGTCAACTTTGGCCTGCCTCTGGGGGTCTTCTACCGCATGCACTCCGTTGGGGGGCTGGTGGAGGTCTACCTGGGGGCCTGAGTGCGCCCGAGGAACCCACGCCCTGCAGACCCCCGAAGTGCCAGGGCCGGGGAGAATGTCACCCAGATGCCCCATTCCAGGGGCACCTAGACCAGCCTGGCGTCCCCAAAGCCTGCTCTGCCCCGGAACCTCATTGTGGGGTGGTGTCACTGTCTCCAACCCCAGACCGAGGCCGGGGCCTGGACACTGAGCTGCTAAAACCCACACCCAGGACGGAGCCCGCGCCTGCCCCCGGCTCACCACCACAGTCAGCGCAGCCCAGGAGGAAGCCCCCACAGCTACCCTCCAGGACAGCCCTGCACTGGGAGTTTGGGGAGGCGCAGCCCCTCCCCAGCCAGGCCTGGGGGCTCGGCCTCCTGCCTGGCCCAAGCCCAGCCCAGGACATCTGGAAGCTCGTGGCTCGGCAGGCCGCCCTGCCCTGGTCTCCCTGCACGCCCTGTCTCCTAATGAGCTCCTTAATTAACTGCCAGGCAGGGTTCAACAGCTCTCTCTCCCGCTGCCATAAACCCTGTTTGTTTGATCGATTCCACTCGGGCTTCGTGGCATTTGTTCCCGGGGACAGAGCTGCCGCTCCACGTACGGTGGAAGGGACAGTCCTCCTGGGTGGGGCTGTGGGGCTGGAACAGCCCTATTTCTGGGCCAGGAGGGGTCTAAACCCTTTGTCTGGTCCTCCCCTTGTCTGATCCACGGCAGGAGAGGGGAGGAGAGAGGCTGGGGCTTCCGCATCCTCCCACCCCTCGCCAGCTCTGCTTTCTCCCAGGACACAGTCCTGGGGGACTTTCCCCAGCTGTGGGGTCCTCTGAATCTTCAGGCAGGGAGGGCAGCCCGTCCATCTCCGTGAGCCCAGTGCAAACAGTGAGCTGTGCCCAGGGTGAGGCCTGGGGCGAGGCCTGGGGAGGGCAGCTCCGCCCCTGCCAGCCAGGCTTGCACCCCACAAAGCTGGGTGCTGGTGAGCATGGGTCTAGAGTCCCAGGGACCCCCAGGGTGGCCAGCAGAGCCCCATGCAAGAGGCTGGGAGGCAGACCCTTCACCTCTCCTGTGTGAGCTCTTTCTCTGGGGGCAGCACGGCCAGGGAGCCCAACCCTCCACTTCCTCACCCAAGAAAATGATGGATGCTGGTCGTGTGCGGAGGGTCCTCTGGGCCTGACTCTGGCAGGCGGAGCCCCAGTGTCCATGAAAACAAGAGCCATGGACTGACCCCCTGCCTCCCCTCCAAGCACAAGGACGCAGGGTCTGGAGAGGGGGGTTTTATTATGTAAAGAGGCCGATTGTACAGAGCAAAGATTGTACTGACACAGGCGGGGTGAGGGAGACCCAGAGGCCAGAACCAGAAGGAGGGAGGGGTGGCCTGCCAGTCCCCCCTCCCCCGCAAACATCCAGGCGGTGGGAAAGGGGAGGGAGGGCTGAACAGTGGCTTCTCCCCCCGATCCCCTCACCCCCGTTTCTGTGTAAGAGTCAGGCAGGCTACATCCCTTGACCCGGAAAATACAGAGGAGACCCTCAACCCCCTATTCCAAACCCGAACAAGCGGGAGGTCCTCCAGTCTGGCGCTTGGTGTCCGTCCGCCCCCAGTCTCCTCCATGAGCATCTTGGCCACCCTTCTTCCCAGGGTCCTGACAGCGGGCAGGGGCTGGACCAGGTGGTTTCCCAGTAGGAGACTTGGAAAGGCTCTCCCCACCCTTGCAGGCACCTCCAGGAATGATGACCCAAGACTTCCTTGTGGGCAGCCCATTGGGGCACAGAGGCCTGGTGCCCTCCAGGATCTGGCAGCCCAAGAGCCAGGCGGGCACTGAGGGTCAGCTTAGAAATGGGTTCTGAAGGGCAGCCGGAGAGAGATGGGAGCTCTGGGTGGGGGGCGGGGGGCTGCAGCCCTGGAAAGAGAAGGTTCCGGCGAGTCCAGCCTGCAGGCAGGGGGCAGGGTGGGTCCCCACCAACCCAGCCACAGGGGGCCTCTGGGGCCTGCCGCCCAGGACTCAGCCACTTAAGCGCCCAGCCCTGACTGCAGTCATTTAAAGCTCAGAACAGGGGATTGGGGTCAGCACCGGGGACCCCGGGTCCCCGCCCTCCCCTGGCCCCTGCCCCTTGCAGGCTTCCATCTTCACACCCGCTGGATCTCAAACAGCTTCACATCCGTGTCGTACCAGACAGGTGGGTCCACATTCCTGCCGAGCGAGTCGACGGTCACCCGGGGGCCGGGCGGCCTCGAGGAAAAGCCTGGGGAGGAACTGGGCTGTCCTCCTCCCGCCCTGGCATCCCCCACCGGCCCGGGCAGTGGGTGCCCACCCCCACCAGACAAGACCACCCTGGTGGACGGTCTTGACATCAACCCCCCTAGCTGAGGCCGACCCTCAGGAGGGACAGCAGGCCCCCAGCAGCCCCCAGGGGCCCACCTCAGGTAGATGACGCCCCACATGTAAGTGCGGAACCACATGGCCGTGCCCGAGTTGGCCTGGTACTTGCGGATGAGGATGGGGTGGGGCACGGGCAGCAGCCCCACCAGGGTGCCGTGCTGCAGGAACCGCAGGATCTCCGACTCATCCGTCAGGCCCCTGCCAGGGAGACGGGGGTCTCCAGCGTGCCCACTCTGAAGGGCTCACCCATGCTCCGGGCCCTGGCCCCGCCCTGGCCTGGGCTGGCCCGCAGAGCCCGCCTGCCCGGCCACGCCCCCAGCCTCACTTGTCGATGCAGATCTTCTCCACCTGGGGAACCAGCACCTGCAGCAGCCTCATGATGGTTTGCAGCGGCAGCTTCGACTTCCAGGAGAGGACCTGGGGGACGGACCGGGGTTCCCCGGCTGGCAAAGCAGTCCCCCAGAGGCTCTGGCACAGACCTGACCCCTGACCTGGAACCATGGGCTCCCCAAGGCAGAAGGCATCTTGGCTCATCACAGCAAGGGCCTGGCAACCAGGCAGGGCCCGTGAATAGTGACTGCAATTCGTGGCAGGGGCTGCGGCCTCTCATGGAGCGTGTACCATCCCCTGCCTTTGATCCTCACGACAGTGATGAGGCTAGGACATTTAGTATCCCCATGCAAATACAATTAGTGGTGAGGTCAGGAAACAAGTAAGGGAGTGAGCAAGTGATGCAAGGAAGGAAACTGGAAAGGGTGATTTATTGAGAAAGGGCTGTACCTTAACCCTGCTGGGGAACCAACCCTGGACAGTGTAGACAAGAAGCAGCCAAGCCAGAGAGGCCAAGGTCACGAGACAGGATTGACCCTGAACCTGACCCCAGGCCAGTCCCTGGAACTGGACCCATTCCCATCCAAGCCTTTCCTGAGCCAGGAGCCCCCGTCAGCCCCCCCACACACACACACCATGTGCCATCTGCCCCACCTGCCCCACCCTCACCCACTCCGACGTCGGGTTCCACTGCCCACTGGCCGATGCGCTGGACAGTCGCCGCTGCTCCCGCCAAGCCTGGCTGGGCTCCTGGTCCCCGAGAAGGAACCAGAGTGAGGGGTGGCGGGCAAGGGTAAGGATGGGGGGTGGAGGGTAGGCCATCAGGCCCTTGAACAGTCCCTACCACAGCCTGGGACCCAGAGGGCAAGGAGGTCTCTGCCCTGGCCCATGCTGGGGGGAGAGGGCTCCCTCCCAAAGGAGGGGATGGCCCAGCCCAGCACCCTTTGCCCTGGGCTCCAGGCCCTGCCCGACCCAGCCCAGCCCGGTGACAGGTTTAGGGCCAGGGGCTGAGTGGGCAGACAGGGTAAAGGCCGGCCCAGCCTTGATAAGGCTGATGGATGAGGAGGCTGAAGGCCAAGGGCTTGAGCCCGTGACCAATAAACGAGGGAGGGGTCTGTGAAAGACACCCCCCACCCCCGTGGCAGAGAGTCAGCAGTGCCAACCCCAATGCCCTGAGCACCAGGTGCCTGGCCCTCTGCGGCAGGGGACCCCAGGGTGCCCCGGCCTGGCCCGCATTTCAGAGACCAAGGAGGAAGGAAAAATGCCCAGCCTCACCCCCCACCGCGAGTTCCCGGGGCCCACCTCCGTGGCTGGGCTGTCCTCCGCCGAGCTCTGCTGGGGCGCAGAGTCCAGGGACCGCAGGGTGCCATCCTCCGACACCTGGGACTTCTCCGTCAGCTTGTCAATGCCTGTGGCGGGGTGGGGGGCAGTGAGGACTCCTGCCCCAGCGCCCCTCCTCGAACGCCCCTGCACAGCCCCGCCCTGCGAGTCCCCAGCTTCCCTCCACTTTAGAGATGCTGCGTCTGACCCCTCCCCCGCCCCGTCCAGCACGGAGGTCCAGTCCCCCCCACCCAGCTAGCCCTCCCGGGCTCCCCCGAGACCTCCACCCCGACCCTTCCCGTCACTTTCCACAGCGCCCTGCCAGCCATCAGCACCGGACCTGGGGTGGCCACCAGGCTGGTCTTGAGGGTGCCAGGCTCGGCGGGCGCGGCGGGGCGGGACCCCTCCATGGAGGTGCCCTCCTGCGAGCCCGCGCGGGACAAGGGCTCGGGCGGCCGGCGGCGCCGCTGCAGGGCCTTGTGGATGGCGGGCGGGTCGGTGGGCAGGTTGGCCAGCTGGTGGAAGACGCTGCGCTTCCGGATGATGGCATAGACCAGGTTGGAGTTGCCTATGGGCGGGGAGGGGGGGTCTCAGAGAGGCCCCCTCGCCATCCCCTCCACGGGAGCGGCCTCCTGGGAGCCAGGGGGAGCTTGGAGGACGAGATGGGCGTCTACCCCAGGGGGAGGCGACAGCAAAGGCCACAGAAGAGAGGGCGAGTGGGCAGGGTTGGTGCTGGGGGCGGGGGGCGGGCTGAGGCGACTCCAGGATGCCACCTGTCAGGGAAAGAGCTTCTGGGCTGAGCTCACCCCTGCCCCTCCCTGGTACCCGGGGCACCCTCTCGCCACCCAACATGAAGGGGCAACACCTGGCAAAGCCGGGTGGGCCCAGCATGTCAGGTCCCACTAAGCCAGCTGTTCAATATTTTGATGGTCCCCCAAGCCAAGTCACCAGGAGGAAGGACCATACGGTGTGTGCCCACGCTGAACGCCCTCAACTCCAAGGGAGACAGGAATGCTTTCTGGGCCTTCAGTGCCACGTCGTGCCCCCGCTCGCTGCCCCACCCCAGTCCCTGCCTCTCACCACCCTGCTTCCACGTCCACGTCCACGTCTCACCCCATCAGCTTTCTGTAGACTGTGCCCCCTCCGTGATTTCCTACTGTCTCCACCCCATTCATCCCTGATGAGTTAGGGTTACTCACTCAGTCATGTTCGACTCTCGTGTGACCCCATGGACTGTAGCCCACTAGGCTCCTCTGTCCGTGGGATTCTCCAGGCAAGAATACTGGAGCGGGTTGCCATTCCCTTCTCCAGGGGATCTTCCTGACCCGGGATTGAACCCAGGTCTCCTGCACTGGCAGGTGAATTCTTTACCATCTGAGCCACTGGGAAGCCCTTCATCCCTGATCGATTAGTGCAAATACTGCTTATTCTGGAAATAATAACAACTGCTAATATTTAAGTCACAGGCAAATGCTAAGTGCTTTCTTGGATTATTTCACCTAATCATCCCAACACCCTCTGAGATAGGGACTCTTGGTACTACTATTATGCTCATCTTACAGATGAAGAAACTGAGGCTCAGGGAGCCGGTGTGCACACACTCACACTCACAGCTAAGTGTTTGCTGCTGTCGTTCAGTCGCCCAGTCTGTCTGACTCTCTGCGACCCCATGGACTGCAGCACGCCTGGCTTTCCTGTCCTTCACCAACTCCCAGAGCTTGCTCAAACTCACGTCCATTGAGTCAGTGATGCCATCCAACCATCTCATTCTCTGTCTCCCCCTTCTCCTCCTGCCTTCAATCTTTCCCAGCATCAGGGACAAGAGTAAGCAACTAAACAACAACAATCCTAAGCTATACAATAGGTCCTTGCTGCTTATCTATTTTATATTTAGTAGTGTGCATATGTTAACCCCAAATACATATAATTTTATTACAGAAAAATGGAGAAGAAAATAGCAACCCACTCCAGTATTCTTGCCTGGTGAATCCCATGGACAGAGAAGCCTGACAGGCTACAGTCCATGGGGTCACAAGAGTCAGATATGACTTGGCATATAAACCACCACATTATAGAAAAAAGGGTTGCATTCCAGTTATATATGTACATGTCTGCCTCCTCTAAACACTAGAGCTTTTCGAGGATGAGAATGTATCCAATTGATCTCCATCAGTCTAGCACTTAACATAATGTCTGACTACCAGACAGCGTCAAAAGTATACCCATTGCTGTTGTTGTTATTGTTCAGCTGCTAAGTCGTGTCCGACTCTTTGTGACCCCATGGACGGCAGCACGCCAGGCTTCCTTGTCCTTCATCGTCTCCTGGAGCTTGCTCAAACTCACGCCCATTGGGTCGGGATGCCATCCAACCATCTCAGCCTCTGTCGCCCCCTCTCCTACCCTGAGAGCTAAGTGGCAAGGCCTTCACTGACAGCAGGCAGCCCAGCATCTCTGACGCCCAGCAGGCCCGTGACACCCTGAACTTCCCTCCCACCAGACTTAAGATGACCTGTTTGTCTGGGTGACCATCTGTTTGGAGTCCCACCTCCAAGCCTCCCTCCCCAGCTGTGAGCCTCACGGGGCAAGAGGCACTCTGCTTGGTTTCCCACCGAATCCCCTCACCAGGCCCAGGGCTTGGTATACAGCAGGCACTCAATAAATGCATGCAGGACAAACAAACTGGGGATCAGAGGGCTGTGTCCGCCTCAGATGGGAAGGAGTCCTCACCAACTGCCCACCCCGGCTCCCCCGGTCCCCAAGGCCAGGCCAGGGGCTTGGGCCGGCACCTCACCATCAAACTGGTACTGGATGATGTTGTTGAAGACTTCCAGAAGGAAGAAGACCAGGTGGTGGTTCTGGGCAGCAGAGAAGAGGAACCAGGTGGTGGAGAAGGCCTCCAGCAGGTGCAGCAGCTTGTTGGCGGCCACCATGGACAGACTCTTGAGGTAGGGGGACACTACAGGGGAGGGGTCGGCTTACTTCCGGGGCCCCGCCAGCCAGGCCTGCACACCCAGGGCCTGGGAGGGACACAGTGCTCCCGCTCCCACACCCTCCCTGCCCCCTGCCGGGGAAGTCCCCCCCAAAAGTCAGGAAGACCAAGCCCCAGAGGCCAAGGCCACACTGGCCATGCCTCCCGCAGAGCCCCAAGGCTCCACCTGCGCCCCGCCCCTGTGGACAGCCGTGTTTACAAAGCCACTCACACACTCCATCTCCCCCACTCCTCCTCGAACCTGAGAGGGAGGCAGATACAAGAGACCATTCCCATTTAGGAGATGAGAAAACTGAGGTTCAGAGAGGTTCATAAACTTGCCCAGAATTGCCCAGTTATAAAGTGATGGGCAGGGATACAAACTCAGGATCTTTACATCTTTCTAGAATACCAAGCTGGGAATTCCCTGGTGGCCCAATCGTTGGACTCTGAGCTCTCACTGCAGGGGGCCTGGGTTCCATCCCTGGTTGGAGAACTAAGATCTTGCAAGCCATGCAGGACACCAAAAACAAAAATTAAAAAAAAAAAAAAGTAAGTAGACTATCAAGCTGATATTCCATATATAATTATATACGGATTTTCTGCACAGACGGTGAAGGGGGAGTCAGAGACGCAAGGCTGCAGCCGGCTTGACGTCACAGACTGATCTGTCATAGCCCGATCTTGCCTCGTGTCTTTCTCCCTCACCGGAGTGGGGCAGGGTCGGTGGCTGTCTTGTTCACAAATGCATTCTCAGGTAAGATCTATGGGATGGAGCCAGTGATGGAAGGCCCAGTTTTGAGCCCTGGTTGAGGAAATATGATGCCACAGGCTATGCAGTGCAGTCAAACAATTAAGAAAGAAGAAAGGGGGGGAAATGAGAGAGAGAAAAGGAAGGAAGGAAGGAAGGAAATTGACCAGTAGGTACTTTGTTGTTGTTGTATTGTGTGGTCAGTTGTATCCAATTCCTTGCGACCCCGTGCACTGTAGCCCACCAGGCTCCTCTGTCCATGGGATTCTCCAGGCAAGAGTACTGGAGTGGCTTGCCATTCCCTTCTGCAGGGGATCTTCCCAACCCTGGGATTGAACCCTAGTCTCCTGCGTTTCCTGCATTGGCAGGTGGGCTCTTCACCTCTGCGCCACCCGGGAAGCCCCGTAGGCACTTAGCGGCCCTTATGTTAATATTTCTATTGGACCCAGCAGGTTTGAATCAGGGAGCCCGCGGCAGGTCAGCCTGTGGCCGGGCGCCCCCTGGTGGTGATCGTGGGAAAGGCGCGTCCTGGTCCCCGCGTACCGTTGACCACGATGGTGAGCAGACAGTCGAAGAGCGGCTGCAGCCGCTGGTGCCCGCTGGTGATGATCTTGTGGAAAACCTACGCGGGGAGCAGGGGGTCAGCCACGGGGTCCCCGCCGCCTCCAGTCTCGGCCGAGGGCACGTCACCCCCAGACTTCCAGGTCCCCCCCTGACTTACCACGATGAGCAGGTCGGCGTGGGTGCCGGTGAAGACCGGGATGTCCATGGGCACGCGCACGGAGTAGGGCTTGTTCAGCCGCACCCCGAAGTTCCGCTCCCCGCTCAGAAGCAGCAGGATGAAGACGCCAATGTGCATCAGGCCCACCCGAGCTGCGGCACGGGGCGTGGGAGGGTCACCTCGCTGGGCGGGGCGGGGAGGAAGGGAGCCTGGGGCAGGGACCCATCTTGGGGGGGTGGTGGGGGGAGAAGCCCTTCCCGGGAGGTCAGGGCACAGGGCCCGAGCTGCTCGGGGGCAGGACAGACTGGCCGCAGCTGCCCCTCGGCGAGGGGCACCCCCCAGGGACCCCGAGCCCACTCCAGCCGTACACTGATCCGCCCGAGCATCGTTGAGGAAGTAGAGGATGGGAACCAGGATGTCCAGGACGTCACTGCTCTTCAGCACAAAGAAGAGGAATTTCTGGGGTGGAGGGGAGACGGGTGGGCGAGGTCAGGAGAGGGGCAGCTCTGCCCCGCCCCTCCCAGGAGTCTCCCTAGATGCCCTCTGCATCCCAGGGGCAGACCACGCCCCCCGCCCCACGTGGGCCGGCCCACCTTGTTGAAGTCGCAGAGCTTCCAGAATAGGACCAGCAACTCCTGATGGAACTGGATCTTCTTGGTCGAGTTGGGCAGGTAGGTCTGCAGCAGGGGGTTGGACAGCAGCCGGGCTATGCCCTTGAGGATGAACTGGAAGTCCTGCGTGGGGTAAGGGCAGGGGCCTGTCCAGTCCAGCTCCCTGCAGTCCCAGCTTCCTGGCCAGGCCCCCAACAAATGCCTCCTCTCCCCCCAACTCCCACTCCACCCAGAGCCTGATTCCCACCATCAGAGCCAGAGGGACCCAGGTTCCAGCGTCATCAACAGCTGTCCTGGGGGTAGCCCCTTGAAGCTGGGTCCAGGGCAGGTCTCGAGAGCTTACTCCACCACCAGACCACAGGCTCCCCATCTACGCACGGGACTCCTGCCCACCGGGACTTCTTATGGACAGGTCCAGTCCTCCCGCCCCTTCCCAGCACCCTGTCACATGTGAGGAACAGCCTATTCTAGAAGAGCTGTCCATCACTGAGCACCTACTGCCCGGACAGTGCTCTCAGCCAATCGTCACTACGAGGCAAGGATGCAGTTCCTGTCCCCACATCACAGCTGCAGAGGTTAGAGTCCGGGGGGCACAAGAACCTCCCCCAAGATCACAAGACACACAAACCCAGGTGTGACTGGCCTTTCTGTCCACTGTAATTCCCCTACCAAACCCACCATCAGAGCCACCTCCTCCCGCAAGTCTTCCCCAGCTACCCTCCCCCAGTTGAGGCCATCAGCCCTTTTCTGAGGCTCAAGACCCTTGTGGTCCAACCCTGAGTCCACCGGGACCGTGGTTCCTTCAGGTAGGGGTCAGGACTCTCCCTACCCCCAACCTTATCTGCATCCTCTCACCCCCTGCAAGGTCACAACCTTTGTGGGAAGTGGGCATCAAAAACCCACCGGAGGACTTCCCTGGTGGTACGGTGGATGGGAATCCACCTGCCAAAGCAGGGAACATAGGTTCGACCCCTGGTCTGGGAAGATGCCGAATGCCACGGAGCAACTAGGCCGGTTCACCACCACCACTGGGTCCGTGTGCTGCAACTACTGAAGCTAGCGAGCCTAGAGCCCCTACTCCGCAACAAGAAAAGCCACGGCAATGAGAAGCCCGTGCACCGCAACAAACAGTAGCCACTGCTCACCATAAGTAGAGAAAGCACAACAACGGAGGCCCAGCGCAGTCAAAAAATTGATTACTTAAAAATTAAAAAGAAAGAAAGAAAGAAACCCACCAGAGCAAGAGCATTGTTCAGCTCACCTCTTCTCGATGGATGCGGGACAGGTAGTTCACAAACAGGTTCTCGGGCCCTGGAGGCTGCGGAGGGTGGAACCGGGGTCAGCAGATGCCCTCACCCCGCCCCCACCCTACCCCAGGCCCGCTCTGACCCCAGACACCCCCACAAGGTGTCCACCGGGTATCCTCGCCCGGGCTGCTGGAGGCGGGGCCGGCGGCCCGCGCTCTCCCGTGCTCACGTCGGCATCGTCCATGGCGGTGCCCGTGGTGGTGCCGTCCACGGTGGGGCTGGCGCTGGTGGCGCTGTCATGGTCCAAGGTGACGATGAGCACCTGGGCCGCTTCCTCCACCAGGGGCTCCCGGTAGTCGGAGAAGAGCAGGTGGTTGTAGGGGATCCCATAGCCCACAGGGTCATAGGCACACACGGTGTTCAGGAGCGAGGTGAACAGGGGCAGGGCGTGTCTGCGCCGGAGAGGGGGCGGGGCTTCAGGGACTCCGCCCACTGCCCACTCGCGGCCGCGGCCGGGTGGGCAGGTCGGCCAGGACGACCCCTCATCCCCAAGTGTCTCAGGACCAGGCTGTGGCCTGGGGGCCAGGGAGCAGCCCCAGGAGCTCATCCCCTTCCGTTCTGGCAGAGACCACTCCCCCCTCCTTGCCTGTATCTGGGACCCCCGCAGGGATGGTTGGGGACAAGAAGGAATTTATTACCAAGACAGGGATGGCCAGTCCTGAGGGGCTCTTTGCAGAATATCATGTCCACACCCCTTAGATTTTCACCCCCAGGGGTTGAAGCCTATTGTGGTTTATTTAAAATTTTTTAAAAATATATATATTTTTGTGACTGCTCCACACGCTATAGCTGGGATCTTAATTCCCCAACCAGGGATGAACCTTTACCCCCCTGCACTGGAAGTGCAGAGTCTTAACCACTGGACTTCCTGGGAAGTCCCTAAAAATACTTTACTTTTTTAGAGCAGTTTTAGGTTCATAGTAAAACTGAGGGGAAGGCAGAGATTTCCCATAGATTCCCTACCTCGACACATACACAGTCTCCACCACCATCCACATCCCCCACCATCCACATCCCCCCACATTTGTTACAACTGATGAGCCGACATCAACTCATCACTGTCACCCAAAGTCCACAGTTCACATCAGGGCTCATTTCTTTCTTTTTTTTTTTGGCTGCAAGTGGAATCTTACTTCCATCAGGGCTCGAACTTGCACACACACACACACACAGACACACACACACCCCGCAGTGGAAGTGCAAAGTCCTAACCTCCGGACCACTGGAGAATTCTCCAGAGTTCACTCTCGACGCTGTATAATCTACGGACTTGGATAAATGTATAAAGGCCATGCCTCTGAGGTTTCTGCAGGGCAGGTACCCTCCCCTCTGGGCCTCGGAGTAGCGTTGGAGGCCCACAGGGAAGGCGGGAAGCAAAGCATGTGCCCCATTCCCCAGCTCCCAGGCCACAGAAGGCTTCCATTCAGAGATTTGTGAGGTGTCAGAGGTCAAGCTCCTCATCTTACAGATGAGGAAACTGAGACCCAGGGAGGTTCATCAAGTGGCAAAGGTGGCCGTTTGCCTGATAAGGCTGGGGAGGAAGAAAACCCTGACCAGCTTTTAACTGTACCTGGTGGGGGGAGTCACCTGGATTCTCTCTACTTCTGGGGGTTGTGCAGGGGGTGAGATTGGGCTGCAAAACCTGAAGATGGGGCGTGTCATGTGGGAGTCAGTCTGGAAGAGGGTGAACCACGGCACAGGGACACTAACCCCATGTTGCCGGTACAGCCCCGGGCACAATCGGAGCTGCCCAGCTGGAGCATCTGGACCTGCTGTAAGTATGCAGTCCTGCCATGTGACACCTCCACGAACTCATATGCTCCCCAGAGCCCTTAAGTGCCCCTACGTGGGCCAGGCTTCCCCATTCTTCGGAGTATTCCTCACACCCCCACCCACCCACCATTTAAACAGCACCGTCCAGAAAATTCCCTGGCTAGGACTTGGCCACTGGCTCAATCGGCCCTGGGTTCAATCCCTGGTCGGGGAGCTAAGATCCTGAGAGGCCACGCAGCATGGCCAAAATTAAATACACTGTCCAATACAAGCTACATGTAGCTATGGACAGCTTAACATGTGGCTGGTCCAAAGTGAGATGTGCTGTAAACGTAAAACTACACACCAGATGAAAAGTGAATGTAAAACATTTCAATAACTTTGTTTAGTGATTATACCTCAAATACTGATGTTTCAGACATATTGGGTTAAAAGAAATACATAATTAAAATTAACTTCACCTGTTTCTTTTTAACTTTTTACATACTAGAAATGTTTAAACTGCACATGTGGTTTGCATTACCCTTCTACTGGACGGCGCTCTAGATGGAGGACCCAGGGCCCCCAACAGGGACCGCGCTGGTGTTAAGGTGCAGCTGTTGTTATAAGTCATCACCAGCAGGGGGCAGCGTGCCTCCTCAAATAAGACACATTCGGCAGCAAATGGCCTCAGCGCAGCGCTGCCTTGCAAGCAGGAGGTGGGGAAACGGAAAGGCAAGCCAGGGGCCCCTCACCTGTTTTCTGTGGAACAAAAAAACTGCACCCACGGATTGATGCTGCTGCTGTCTGGAGCTGGGGGCAGGTACATGGCCTCGGAGAAGCAAGTGAGCAGCAGTTTCAGCAGCTCCATCCTTGGACAGAGGGGACAGGAGAGAGGCTCTCCTGAGGTTCCCAGTTCCTCTAGAGGAGAGCACGCCCCCCCTCCCCCCGCACCCCGGCTCTTGTTCAGGTTCATGAAAAGTGACTCCATTTTATCCCTGTGAGGCTGAAGCTGGGTCACGAGCGGGAGGGTCTTCTCTGTTACTGTTTAGTCCCTAAATCTTGTCTGACTCTTTGCGATCCCCTGGACTGTAGCCGGCCAGGCTCCTGTGTCCACGGGATTCTCCAGGCAAGAATACCGCAGTGGGTTGCCATGCCCTTCTCCAGGGGATCTTCCAGACTCAGGGATCAAACCCGGGTATCCTGCATAGCAGGTGGATTCTTTACCACTGAGCCACCAGGGAAGCCAAGGGTCTCCTTGGAAGACCCCCACACATGGTTCCCTCCCTGAGCTGCGCAGAGGCCAGGATTGGGGTCCAGCCCGAACAAGCTCACCGATTCATGTCGTGGATGTAGTTGGGCTGGGGAGAGTGAGCAAAGCCCACGCCAGCCTCCCAGATGTATTCACAGCTGTCCAGGGAGTGAATGTCCTCTGCCGAGTCCTGGGGACAGGGTCAAAGAGAAGTCAGCCCCCCCACTCTCCTTGGGGGGCAAAGACCCTCATATTCTCCTAAAGACAGACCCTCAAAGCACCCCAGGTTCTAGGAAAGCTCATTTTCCTTCAGTTTGGTGTTTGCTCAGTCCAGTGTGGACAGGAAGAGAGACAGGGAGTGAGCAGAGTGGAATTGGGGGCCCCTGATGGTGTGTGGGCGTGCAGGGTGGACAACCCTCGAGGTCCGTCCACTGCCTGCAGGAAGTGAGGGGCCAGGCCTCCAGTGCACCAGCCCCACCCCCCCGCGGCCCAGGCCAAGACAATGGGTGCTTGTGCCCTGCCTCCCGGATACAGAGGGCAGGGCCCGCACCAGCTGGCTCCCCGCCAGCCGTGCCAGCCGCCACCCCCTCCTGGGACCACGCGTGCCAGGCAGCCTGGCCCTCCCAGGGCAGTCCCTGCCCCAGGCAACTTCAACCGGCCGCAGCCCAGGGCCCGAGCCCTCCTGGGCCGGGGCTGGGGGTGCCGGCGGGCCCTCACCACAGTGCTCCGCCGGTGGCTCTGCACGGTGAAGTCCGGGCAGAAGAGCAAGTCCGCGACGGCCAGGAGCAGGGACTCGGCCAGCGGCCGGGCGCTCTCGTCACCGTCCTCTGCCTGCTTGCGACACGGCCCCCAGAGGCCCCTCAGTCGCGGCTGGCCGAGGAGAGGCGGCCCCCGGACTTGGGGAGCAGGCGGAGGACAGGGTCGGCCCAGGCAGGCACCCACGGTGGAGGGAGAGAGGAAGCAGGGGGAGAAGGAACAGGCAGTGGACACCTAATCACCCCAAACCTCCCAAGGCAGAAGGGGGACAGTGGGGAGCAGGGCTGGGAGCATGCAGGAGGCCTCCCCAGGGACTGGGAGGGGCTGGGTGAGCCCCCTAAACTCGAGAGCCTCAGCCCTGCTGAGAATCACTGGGCCCGTCCACCCAACACCACACACCCCCAGTTGCCTGGACAGAACCCCAGGGAGGGAGTGGGGTGAGTGGTGGGAGGGCCCAGCTGCCCTGACCCCACCTCTGCCCAGCTGCAGGGGCAGGGACCCCCCACGGGGGAGAAACCCAGAACTCAAGGGGGAGCTGACCCCCCTCCCCCGGCCCTTCCCAAACCCCAGAAGAGGTTTGGAGGAAGGCGACTGGCCCTACAGCTTTCTTCCCCTGTCCCCGCTGCCCCACTTCCCCCCACCCCCAAAGTCCTGGCCAGGCCCACAGACCCCTCCTCGCCCAGCCCCGGGCACTGTGGACCAGAAGAAGCCCCTCCAGTCAGGGTCCTCGAAGATGTAGGGCAGCACGCGGGTGAGCAGGCGGCTGCAGTTCAGCACAATCTGCCTCTCCTTCTCCGAGTGGCAGCCGCTCTCGGCTCCCTGCACCAGCTTCTCGACTGCCTGCGAGGGTGGGCAGAGAGGCAGGCGGCAGGGGGCATGAGGCCCTGGCACCTGGGGTAAGGCTGGGCACCGCAGGCTTCAGGGGAGCGTGGCCAACCTGCAGGGCCCCCTCTCCAGACAGGGTCAGCCAACGCCAGGGGGACAGGGCATGAGCCAGGAAGCAGCCTGGAGCATCTGAGAGTGGGGCCCAGCCCACCACTCACTGGCTGAGACCTTGCTAAGTGACCAGCCTCAGTTTCCTCATCTGTAAAATGGCAATACTAACAGCACCCCACGGACTGTAGCCCGCCAGGCTCCTCTGTCCGTGGGACTTCCAAGCAAGAATACTGGAGTGGGTTGCCATTTCCTTCTCCAGCGGATCTTCCTGACCCAGAAGATCAAACTGCATTGTCTCCTGCACTGGCAGGCGGATCCTTTACCACTGAGCCCTCAGGGAAGCCCAGCAACTGCACAAGGTGGGCTAGCCGAGGGGGCCTGTCCCGGCCCGGGGGAGAGGGGGTGAAGCCTCAGGGCCACCTCAACTGGGGGGCTGTCCTGGGTACCGGCCCCATTGGACCACAGGGCTGGGCCAGCTCCAGCCTCCCTGGGACTGTGGGGAATGGCTCGGGTGGGGGTGGCCGCGAGGGGCCGGGCACCCCTCACCTTGTAGCACAGAGTGGCCAGGTTGGAGGGTGACTCCTCTCGAACCGCCCGGATCTCTGCTGCCGGCACCAGCGCAAAGACATCCTGCACCGAGGTGGCCGTGTCCGCCCAGAACTGGTCCCAGAAGGCGTCATCGGTGGCTTCCACGGGCTGCGGGGGGACCGAGTGCCCAGAGTCGCACGATCTTTTGCCAGCAGGCCCACAGTGTGCCCAATTCTGTGACCAAGGGAGCCCCGGAAGGGGAAGCCCCCTCTTCCACTCCTGCTGGTGCCCAGGAGTCTTCCCCCATGGAGACATCCTTCAGTGGCCATGAGCCCTGCTTGGCACAGGCAGGCTGGGGACACTTGACACAGACAGTCAGGGATCGGCTGGCACTGAGTTCAGTAGGCAGAGCCCAACCCAGTCCCTGAGACCTGTGACCCCCAGGAACTCACCACCCCCTTTGGTAAATCCTCCCCACCTGGGGGCCTCCCCAGGCCACACCCCTAAGTCACGTGCCCAGGGGCCAGAGCCAGGCTGTGCCCCTCCCGGCTGTGCCCCTCACCCCGGGAAGAAGCCAAGGGGACATGTACCCACTGCCAGTCACGCAGGCTGCCCCCTCAACCCCAGCCTCCACCCGCACCCGGGACACCCAACTAGCGCCGAATAGATAGGAGTCACCCCACAACTCTCCGACCACTTCCGCTCTTCTCGGTACCCAGTACTGGCGCTGCCGCTCAGGCCACTCTTGCCAGGGCCCCCCTTCCAAATCTACCCCCTCAATCCTGCCTCCACACTGCCCCCAACCAGCATTCAAAGCACAGCACCGAAGGCATTGCTCCCTCAACAAAGACACTTAGGGCTCCCCACTGCCAGCCGAGTCCAGACCTCGGCCGGACAGTCAGCCAAGATCACACCTAAACACACCTACAAGAACACACCTGGGCACACAGACACGCACACGGACACACAAAAAACACACGCGTGCACGTGCATTCGTGCACAGGCACACCTGTATTCACGATCCCAGCAACACAGCCCTGCCATATTTTCTGGTTGCCTTTGCACAGAACCATCCCCTCTTCCCCACAAGCCCACCCCACCCAACACTGTCCAAAGTCCTACCAGACCTACTGAGGCAACAAGCCTTCAGGACACTCATGCCTTTTAAGTCATTTGGGTAGCCAAATGAACACCTGATTTGAATCATGAACTCTAGAAGTCTCTCCTAAGGAAATGATCTGAGATAAGCATGTATGAGAATGTTTACTGAAGAGTTGATAACAGTGAAAAGTTGGTATCAACCTAAATAGCCAACAATTGGGGAATGCTTAAAAAGTTGCTGCTGCTGCTCCTAAGTCACTTCGGTCATATCTGACTCTTTGCAACCTGTGGACTGTAACCCGCCAGGCTCCTCTGTCCATGGAATTCTCCAAGCAAGAATGTTGGAGTGTGCTACCATGTCCTCCTCAGGGAATTACCTGGCAATCTAGTGGTTAGGACTCTGTACTTCCACTACAGGGGGAATGGGGTCAATCTTTGGTCAGAGAACTAAGATCCTGCATACCACTCAGCCAAAAAAATAATTAAGACATAGTCAAACAATGCAATGTTATGCAGCCATCAGAATCATGTCTTCAAAGAATACAAATGAATGGAAAATGCTCGTCGTATATGAAAAAGAGAAGATATAAAACTAACTATAGGATGATCATGATTTTTTGTAAAATTATGGAGGAATAAAAGCCTAGAAGAAAATAACGAAGTGGCAATAGCAATTATCTTGCGGGGTGGCTTTTTTGTTTGTTTCTTTATATTTTTCCTGTACATGCACATATAGCTATTTTTTTCTTTTGAATGGTCATCTGTTTGAGGGTCAGCCGAGGTCCTCTTACCGTTCCGAATAGCACTTCCTGCAAGAGACCTTCCCAGGCTGCTCCAATCAAATTAGACTTTTGCCTTCTCTGAAAGAGCCGATAAAGGGCTGCTGCTGCTAAGTCGTTTCAAGGGCTACTCTACCACAAATAAGCACATACGTATCCCTCTTATTATCAGGAAACAATGTGAATCTTACTTTAAAAAAAATAATTCTGTTGGGATTCCCTGGAGATCTAGTGGTTAAAACTCCGCACTTCCAATGCAGGGGGTAGAGGTTTGATCCCTGGTCAGGGAACTAAAACCCCACGTGCTGTGAGGTGAAGCCAAATAAAAAAAAATACTTGAAAATAAAAATTCTGTTCTCTAAAGCCCCTTCTTCCAAGAAGTCTCCCAGTGGGCTCGATCCCGCCTTGGACGCCTGCTCCCCGCCCGCCACAGTCACTCATCACGGGCCTGACTCCACACTTGCCTGGAGGCCCTATTCCTCCACCAGCCCTTCTGCCGGGACCGTGCACTTGAGGCATATGGCAGACACTTGGGCAGTATTTGTCCAGCTAAAGGCTGTAATCAGTCCCAGAGATTCCCTTCAGCCCCTCCACTGGGCAGAGCTGAGCACGAGGCTGGGAACAAGCCTCCCCAGGGTCCAGTCCACCCCAGCCCACTCCCCAAAAAGGCCACCCGCCGAGGCAGAGGGCAGCCAGTGGCCACGGCCTTCAGGGCTGGCCTGGCACCAGGACACCCTGGGTCCCAGAACTGGTAGAGCAAGTTAGCTGGGGGAGAGGAACAAAGACCAAAGCTGCGCCCTGGGGCTGCAGCGGGCTGGTCCTCGGGCCCTCCAACCCTCTCTGGGGTCCAGGGGAAGCACCCCCCAGTGTGGGTGGCTGGGTGGAAGTGGGGAAGGAGCCTCCCGGAAAACATGCAGAGCCCCAACCCCCGCCCCCAATCTGAGAGCACCTCTGGGAAGCCATTTTTCCCCTCCTCCCTTGTAGCCACGACCCTCTTAAAGGGGCAGAAACTCATCAAGTGCACTTGACCTCTGACCTAGTTCATCAGGCAAGTGTCACCTGGGGACTGAATTAAGAATGAGGAGAGAGTCTTAGGAGGGAACTTGAGAGGCCCCGGGGCAGCCCAGCTCTGAAGCAGAGGGAAGTCCCAGCTCTGGGAGCTGGCCTTGAACTTCAGGACTAAAGATTTCACCTCCCCCATCCCCAACTGGGACCTCTTCTCCGGGTCCCAGCTGTGGCTCTGGATCCTTCAGTTTGGTGGCCGTTACCATACCAGGAGAGGCTAGCTTGATGCTATAGGTACTGGCCAGGTTCGCTGGAACTTCTGAGTGTGGGGGAAACATAGCTTAGCTCCTGCCTCAGTTATTCCAGCCCCACCCAACATAAAGAAGCTTCTAAAATCCAAGCTAGTTTCTTTAAAAAGAGTATTTTTGGTGGAAGTGGGCAGGCCCATGCTGCCAGGGGCACAGGGTCTGAGCTACCCTGGAGGGAAACCAGATATTCTTAGCGCAGCTTTGCCGGGACCTGCTCAGGCCCACCAGCCTGGAGGACTAGCTGCGTCTGCTGAACCTCTCTGCGGGGGAGAAGGGAAGCACCAGCAGTGGTCTAGCCTGCCAAGGGTGACCTGTACTGAAGGATTGTGTCACCACGGCATTCGCACACTCATAGGTGTGCACACGTGTGAACATGGACCCACCAGATATCCTCTGGCCTACAACAGAGGAATCTCCAAAAGGAAAGGATCTAGGAGAGGGTCCCGGATCCAGGAATATGCTCCTCGAGGGCTCCACCCACACCGGGAAAGGCTTGGGAAACACAGCCAAAGCTGCTGGCTTCAGGACCAGGGTCGGGCCTATCCCAAGGCAGGAAGAAAACAGGATACAGCACAGGAAGGCTGGGAAAGCCAACCAGCTTCGGCCCAGGCCACAGGGAAGAGGTGCTAGGTTGGCTTGTCTGCAAAACCCTGTGATCACAGAGGCCCTGGGACAAGAGGACACCCTGGGGACAACTGGCCTGAATCTCCTTGGGGACACGGAGTGGCAAGGTCTGGAACGACCATCTGGGGTTTGGCCCTGACCCCCAAGCTGTCTGAGCCAAGTCACTGCACAGGGTCCGAGGCTTCAGGCCCTGAGGGTCGCTCCCTCCAGGCAACCCAGGTCCCCTCCCACCTGCAGGGCCCCCGGACTCTCCCGAGACAGACTCAGGCTGGTCTCTGGCTCCAGCCCTGTCCCAAGTCAGCTCACTGTCCCCATCTGGGAAACGAGACAGCAGCTCCTCCGTCCATCCTGTCATAGGGCCACAGCCAGGGGAGGATGGAGGCCCAGTGTAATTTGGGGAGGGGGCCCGCGCCTGTAGGAATCCTTTGGGACCCAGCTGAGCTGGTCCTACTGGCGGGGCAGAGACCCCAGCTGCCAAGCCTACAGCCCGCAGGACAAGGTGTTCCCCTCCCCGGGCAGATAAACACGGAGGCCTCCCTCCCCTCCTCTCCCTGCGGCCCCCCACCAAGACACGGACCCACCTGCCACCCTCAGATCTAGAAGCCCCACGCCAAGAAAGCCAAACGCCAGAAACAGCCAGGAGCCTTGGGGGACAGGAGCGATTAGCAAGGCCTGGTTTCTATCAAATGCCTCTCAGCTGGGACTGGACCCTACAGAGGTCCTGGGTGTGTGCCGGGCTCCTGACCTTTATCCTGTGGGAACCAGGTGTGGGACCACAGGTCTGGCCCCTAGAGCTGCAACCAGCTGGCTGTGGGGGAAATGGCTCCCTTGAACCTATTCTACTTGCCGGGAGCATGAGAGAGCCCAGGGGGGTGCAGGTAGAAGGAAATTCCCCGCTGGCAGCAGGTCCTGACTCCCTCGAAAGTGGGGGACCTGGGGAGGCAGAGATGGGCATCTCTTTGGCCAGAGCGGCCTGGCTCAAGGAGTGAGAAGAGAGGGGTGGGCAGGGAGATAGCCTTGCTGGGGCCAGCCCTTGTGCTGCGGGCAAGGAGTTGGCCTCGGTGCCACTTGTGGGCTCAGGGGGGTACCCCCAGGCCCCACAGCACGTAGTCCAGGGGCAGCCTGGACGGTTCTTAGCCCTGCCCCAGAAAACAGGGGGTGCTGGCAAACACAGCCACCTCTGCAGCAGGGCCTGGAAAGGGGAGCCCCTGGAGCAGTGGTCCCCAGCTGGGAATCTGGACTCTATGGGCCTGGGAACAGCTCCCCTTGCCAAGCTGCAGAGCTGCCCACCACTCTGCGTGTTCCCATCAAGACCTAGGCCTTCTCTGACCCTGGGCATCGACCCGGCCCAGCGAGGCCGCCACCGCGCACCAGCTGTTTCCCCGATCCGGGAGGGCAACCGCCGGCTTTGTTTGCATTGAGTCAACCGGGTCTGTGGCTCCCGGATCGCCGGCACCGAGGGGCAGGGAGGAGAAAAGGAGGTGTTTGGGTGGGTGGGGGTGGGGAGAGGCTGGAGATTGCGGAGCTGGAGGGGCGATGAGGGGGCCGACAGCGGGGCGGACAGCGGCGACGCCGGCCTGGGGAGTAGGCACACGTCAGCCTAAGGTGGCAGCAGCAGCTGCGGGAAATAGGGATGTTCCCGGGAGAGAAGGCTGGGGGTGGGGGACTAGGGGAGGGAGCCCTGGGGTACAGGCCCAGGGGTCTCGCTCCGGCCCCGGCTGCGGCGTCACCCTCCCGGCCAGCTGGTCCCCCCAGTCCCCGGCTAGCCAAGTTCTTGCAGGCGCTCCCCGCCCCCCGCCAGCCCTGCCCAGCCCCCAGCTCGGCAGGTGGGTGGGGAGGCCCGGGCCCCGGGCGCACCTGCGTCTTGGTGGTGAGCTGGATCACCGCCTTTCGGAAGTTCAGCTTGGAGTCGGCCGACCCCATTTCGTTGGAGCCCGTTCCGGCCTGGCCCCGACCCCGACTCCCGCCCGGGCCCCGGCTCGATCTCCAGCTCCAGCTCCAGCCCCGCGGCCCCCGCGGCTCTCGCAGGAACCGAGCCGCGCGCCCCGCCCGCCGGCTCGGCGTCGGCGCCACCCCCTGGGCCCCGCCCCGCCGGGCCCCGCCCCCCGCACCTGCCGCTCGGGAGCCGCGTTCCCGGCGCGGGCCGGGGGTTTGGCCCGCGGATACACCCCCAGCCCCTTCTCAGCTGGACCAGGTGCCTTCTGCGTGGAAGCGTTATCCCCCCTCGGTCTCTCCCATTTACACCCAGCGCCCCCGCGCCGGGGCCCGCAACCCTCCCAGCCTCTGTCCCCTGCCCCCCATCCTCACCCTCGGTCCCCACGCCATCACTAGGCCCACAGTTTCAAAGCCGGTCCTCTCCAGCATCTTTCTTGTCCATCCCCCGGCATTCTGGGCATCCGCTCGTTTGGTTCCCCTTTTTCCTGACCTGTCTCATCGGGCTCCGCGGCCTGGTGAGAGCGAGGGGTCCCTTCTGAGTCCCACAATTCCTTTCTGGCCACTTGCCTTCCCTGAGAATCCTGTTAGGTTCATCCATTTCAACAGAATGTTTAGGGACTAGGATTTATCAACACGGTGTCAGGGCCGGCGGGCCGAGGAGGCTTAAGGCACAGGGTCTGCCCTTTAAGAGCAGTTAGCTAGAGAGACAAACAAGGAACAGATTAGCCGTGGTTCAGCCCAGTGAGGCTACGATAGAGGCAAATTAATAATAATAATAATAAATAGTGACAACAACACCTCTTACACAACAAAAAACCTACCTCTGAAGTAGGTATTATACCCACTTGACACTAGGGAACACTGAGGCTCAAAGCAGCTAAGCTGCCCAAAGTCTCAGAACTGGTAAGGAACAAAGCCAAAAAAGCAAATCCAACTCTGGACCCAAAAGAGGACACATTTTTCCAACAATATCGCCTTGCATGCTGTGTCTGGAAGCTTCTAGAAACCCTAGCTGCTTCAAAAGGAGGTGACATTTAGCTGAGATTGAAATTGCGAAGGTAAGGAATGAGGGGTGCACTGTCTAGGCACAAAGGCAGGGTAGGACAGGGGTGGGGGTAGGAGGAGGGGGATGAGGGTGTCCCCAGGGCACTGAATGAGCAGAATGGGCGGGAGCGCTCTGTGTTTGCTCCTGAGGTGGATTTTCCCTACCCTGGATGAAATCTTGGACAGGCTCCATGGCTTTTATAATCACTTCAAGATAACAAATGAATAGTACCTTTATTTGGCATTAAAAAAAAAAAATCCAGTCCACTCTACAAATCACCCAGTCCCAGTCCAGGCCAGTGTGACATTTAAAAATCTGAATCTTATTCATTAGGGAGATGCAAACTGAAACCACAATACAGTTACTACTACATACCTATTAGGGTGGGTCAAAAAGAAAGACCTAGTGATGCCAAATACTGGTGAAGATGGGGAGCGTTTGTATTTTATTATAAAGTTAATTCTAGGGATTTCCCTGGTGGTCCAGTGGTTAAGACTTGGTGTTTCAAATGCAGGGGCACAGCTTCAATCCCTGGTGTGACCAAAAAATAAAAAAATAAAGTTAAATATACAATTACTGTATAACTCGATAATCCCATTTTTAGGATTTACTCAGGAGAAATGAAGACATAGATCCACACAAAATTCTGAGTAACGCATATAGCAGTTTCATTAATAATCACCAAACCAAATGTCCATCATCTGTGGTTCATCGATACAATGGACTAGTACTCGGCAATTGTTGTTTAGTCATCCAGTCGTGTCCGACTCTTTGCAATCCCATGGACTATAGCCTACTAGGCTCCTCTGTCCATGGGATTTCCCAGGCAAGAATACCGGAGTGGGTTGTCATTTCCTTTTCCGGGGGATCTTCCTGACCCAGGGATCAAACCTGCCAATCCTGGATTGGCAGACGGAGTCTTTACCACTGAGACACCTGGGAAGCCCATACTCAGTAATAAAAAGGAACAAATTACTGGTACAGGCAGCAACAATGTGGATGAATCTCAAAAGCGCTGGATCAGACACAGAAGACAACGTACTGTGTTACATCATTTATATGACATTCTGGCAAACACAAAATACAGGGACAGAAAACAAGCCAGTGATTGCCATGGCTGGGAGCAGGATGAGGGGATTAACTGTGAAAACACTTTTTGTTTTGATTGTGGGGGTGGTTCTGTGATTGTGTATGTTTGTCAAAATTCACATGACTCTGCACCTAAAAGGGATGAATTTTACTGTTAAGTTATAGCTCCATTTAATTAAAAAAAAAAAAAAACAAGATCAGGTACTAACTGACCATTCAAAGGGAGGAATTGTTTTTTGTTTTTATTTCTTGACCATGCACCATATGGAATCTTAGTTCCCCGACCACGGACTGAACTTGCACCCCCTGTGTTGGAAGCATGGAGCCTTAACCAGTGGACCCTCAGGGAAGTCCCACAAGACAGTATTTGTGAGCCCTCTGGTCTTGCCCATTGTTCAGAGCCATTTCTGTGGTTTGCAACCAGGAACTCCAGGTGGCACTGAGATATTTCTGGTCACCCATGGACACTTGGACAGATTGGCCAAAATGAGTTTAATCAAGCGGTGATTTATAAGGAGAGGGGAAACCAGCAAGGGTCAGCGAGGCACTCTGGGGCTAGAAGCAGGAGAGAGCCTCGGCTATCCTTACACCTAAAGTGGTGAGGGGTGGAATGGTTGCTAGAACACAGAGAAAGAGAGCCCAGTCATAGGAGAGGGCCAAGAGGAGCAGCAGGCTCCCATGATCTGGAGAATCCCATGGACAGAGGAGCCTGGCGGGCTACAGTCCTTAGGGTTGCAAAGAGTTGGATACGACTTGATGACTAAACAGGAACACTTCTGCTGCTGGCACCTTTGCCAGGAATCCCATCACCTCCCATCTACCACAGCCTCCACTCCTGCCCCCTCTAATCTATTCTGTGCAAGAGCCCAAGGAAATGTACAATACCGCTTAAGATGCTCCCCCACTGAAATCACCTTGGGGCCCATGGTTAGGGTCAGTTTTCTCTGGGTCCCACTCTGACCTCCAAGGACCTGCACCATCCCGAGTCTGCTCTCCCTCCCCAGAGCCCCGAGGTTCCTCTCACACTGGTCTGCCTTTATTTCCTCAAAGCCTCCAAGCTCTTTCTTCCTGAGATCTGTGTACAAGTTGTTCCTTTTGACTGAGACATCCTTCTGCCCACTCTTCATGTCGCTGCCCTTCTCATGCTTCAGGGCCCTGTCTCCTTTCCCAGGGGCTTCACTGGTGGTCCAGTGATCAAGACTCGGTGCTTCCACTCCAGGTGGCGTGGGTTTGATCCCTGATCAGGATCCTCACAGGCTGCACAGCTCAAACCTGCTGCCAAAAGAAACTCTTCCTGAGCGATGTCTCATCCCCAGATGTTGCTATTTCATCCCTAGGTGTGCTTCCTAAAACTTTCACCACCATCTTCAATACTTTTGCCGCTTTGCTTGATTTATGCCTCCTACTGAAATGCAAGCTTCATGAGGGCAGGGGCCAGCTCTATCACGTTCTTCGTATTCCCAGCACCCAGCACAGGCCTAGCACACAGAGAACTGAGTGAAGAGAATTCCTAGGTGATCACAGAAGATGGAGCCACGTTGGTAATCCACTTCAGTCAATAGGAAAGGTACATTTTCACCAACTGCTTCTCAGATTCAGTTTTTAGTTCCTTTGAGACGATTTCAGGGCTTGCCAGCTGGCACAAATGGTAAAGAACCTGCCTGCCATTGCAGGAGATGTTAAGAGACGGGGGTTCGATTCCTGGGTGAGGAAAAATCCCCTGGTGGAGGACATAGCAACTTACTCCAGTATTCTTGCCTGGAGAATCCCACGGACACAGGAGCCTCGAGGGCTACGGTCCATAGAGTCGCTAAGAATTGGACATGACTGAAGTGACTTAGCATGCACACACAAGCCTTTGAAGTGGTGCAAGTGTTCTGGAGTGGAGATGGATAAAGAAGGAGGGTCAAGGAATATGATTCTGCCACTGTCTTTGTTTTATTTTAGCCATACCAGGTCTTAGATCTTCAATCTTCATTATGGCTGTGGGATCTAGTTCCCTGTCCATGGTTCGAACCCAGGCCCTCTGCATTGGGAGCTCGGAGTCTTAGCCACTGGACTGCAAGGGAAGTCCCCTACCACTGGCTTTAGGGCATTCATTTGTTCCTTCATCAGGCACCTGCTATGTGCCAGCTGGAGTGCCTGCCCTCGAGGATCCCTCAGTCTGCTGGGAGGTAAATGGATTCCATGCAGGGGGCCCAGTGTGCAGTGGGAGCCCAGACAGCCAGCTCTCTTAGGCCTTGACTGCAGGCCTGAACTGACCCCTTGATGCCCCACCGGGAAGGTAAGGCCCCTGGTCTGTCTCCCCAGCCCCTATCAGGGGCCCAGCCAGAAGAGGGCTAGTGATGGGCAGAGAGTGGGTTCTCCAGGTGAAAACGTTACAGTAGGGACCTCCCCGATGGTCCAGTGGCTAAGACTCTGTGCTCCCAATGCAGGAGTCCTGGGTTCTATCCCGGTCAGGGAACTGGATCCCACGTGTCACAGCTAAAGATCCCGGATGCCGCTCTGAGACTCACAACTGCCTCCCCGAAGTGACGATAACAATGATCCTAAGAGCAAATCCTGAACAGTGCTCCCCTGGCCCAGTCACTGTTGTAAGCACTTGGTCTGTGTCAACTCAGGGCCCTCCCAACAACCCCACGAGGAAGTACTGAAGGAGTAAGAATGACGCCACTGGAGAACACCCCCACAGCAGGATCCGAAAGGTCACTGCTGACGGCAGGGGTTAACTGTAGGGATTTGAGGCAGACACACGGCAGCACTTCCTGACCACAAGGGCTCATGAGACTAACATAACTCCTCTTTCAGAACAGACCGTTGTCTGGAACACACTCAGATGGTGTGGGGGGAAGGC